AAAATCCTTCCCACCCCCACGACCCACCCAGAGGGCTTTACCAGCAAATTCTTACACCACTCAAGAAATAATTCCACCTTTATACAAACTCCTTAAGAGGGTAGGAAAATTAGGAGTGTCCCTGCCCGTTTTATGAGACCAGCATAACCTTAACACCAAAACCAGACAGGACGTGCAGTGTGAGAACAGACCTGTCAGGACACCCCATTACGAATATAGACGCAGAGAGCAAAGAAACAAGTAGAAATCCATAATAAAAAATATGAAAATGATATAGTACATCATGAGAAACCTTGTTTGCAAGGAACAAATCCTCAGAAGATGTATTCATGTACCATGTGGCAGACCAAAAGAATAAAATCATGCTGTCATCATCATAGAGACAGAAACCAGTTGATAAAATTCATCAGCTGTTTACTGCAAACATCTTAGCACTCTTGGAATGATGAGTTTCCATGATCTAATAAAGGAAGAACGCCTGTAAGTGGTAAATGGTACTGTTTTGTTTTTTAAGATTTTATTTATTCATGAGAGACCCAGAGAGAGGCAGAGACACAGGCAGAGGGAGAAGGAGGTGCCCTACAGGGAGCCCGATGTGGGACTCGATCCCAGAACCCCAGGATCACACCCTGAGCCAAAGGCAGACGCTCAACCACTGAGCCATCCAGATGCCCCTCCCTCCCTCCCGCAGTGCTACCATCTTAATATAAAGCATGGAAAATAGATACTGAGAATAATACCCTCCAGTTCCATCCACGTTGAAGCAAATGGTGGGTATTTGTCATTTCTAATGGCTGAGGAATATTCCATTGTATATAAACCACATCTTCTTTATCCATTCATCTTTCAATGGTCACTGAGGCTCCTTCCACAGTTTGGCTATTGTGGACATTGCTGCTATAAACATCGGGGTGCAGGTGTCCCGACATTTTATTGCATCTGTATCTTTAGGGTAAATCCCCAACAGTGCAATTGCTGGGTCATAGGGCAGGTCTATTTTTAACTCTTTGAGGAACCTCCACACAGTTTTCCAGAGTGGCTGCACCATTTCACATTCCCACCAACAGTGTAAGAGGGTTCCCTTTTCTCTGCATCCTCTCCAACATTTGTGGTTTCCTGCTTTGTTAATTTTCTTCGTTCTCACTGGTGTGAGGTGGTATCTCATTGTGGTTTTGATTTGTATTTCCCTGATGGCAAGTAGTAATGCAGAGCATTTTCTCATGTGCGTGTTGGCCATGTCTGTGTCTTCCTCTGTGAGATTTCTGTTCATGTCTTTTGCCCATTTCATGATTGGATTGTTTGTTTCTTTGGTGTTGAGTTTAATAAGTTCTTTATAGATCTTGGAAACTAGCCCTTTATCTGATATGTCATTTGTAAATATCTCCTCCAATTCTGTAGGTTGTCTTTTAGTTTTGTTGACTGTATCCTTTGCTGTGCAAAAGCTTCATTTGGGGAATATAAATAATAGTGAAAGGGAATAGAAGGGAAGGGAGAAGAAATGGGTAGGAAATATCAGAAAGGGAGACAGAACATGAAGACTCCTAACTCTGGGAAATGAACTAGGGGTGGTGGAAGGGGAGGAGGGCGGGGGGTGGGGGTGACTGGGTGACGGGCACTGAGGGGGGGCACTTGACGGGATGAGCACTGGGTGTTATTCTGTATGTTGACAAATTGAACACCAATAAAAAATAAATTTATTATTAAAAAATAAATAATGAAAGGATAAAAAAAAAAGAAAACGGATACTGAAGAGCAAGACAAGACTCACTGACTGTGCACACTCATGCTTTATGTTGGGACTGGTGGTCCCAGCCAGGATGATGAGATAGGAAAAAGGAGAGAAAAAATATAAGAACTGGGAAAAATTAGGCCATCATCATTTGCAGATGATAAGGTCAGATATGTAGAATATCCAAAAACTCTCCTCAGATAACTCTCTTAGAATTAAGAGGTATTAGAGTTCTAAGAATAGGGGATCCCTGGGTGGCTCAGCGGTTTGGCGCCTGCCTTTGGCCCAGGGCGCGATCCTGGAGTCCCAGGATCGAGTCCCACGTCGGACTCCTGGCATGGAGCCTGCTTCTCTCTCCTCTTGTGTCTCTGCCTGCCTCTCTCTCTCTCTCTCTCTCTCAATCTATCATAAGTAAATAAATAAATCTTAAAAAAAAAGAATTCTAAGAATAAATAACTTGCATGAATTTTATTTTTTTAATTTTTTTTCTTGCATGAATTTTAATGATTAGAATTGACAGTTTAATAAGATTGCAGGTTGCAAGAATCAGTGTACAAAATTACATTTTTTTCTGCATATAATAAATTAATAAAAATGAAATTTTAAAAATATACCAGTCCCTAGGAATAGATTTTATAGGAGGTGTATGAAAGAATCCCTTGTGGAAATAAAGGGGAAAATAAAAAATATTTTCACTGAAGTCTTCCACTTAAATCCTCACTTAAATTTTCTCTAATTTCTTTTTCTTTCACTTTAATCTCTCACTTAAATCTTTGACTTAAATTTTCACTTAAATCTTTCATTTCAAATCATTCACTTAAAGAAGGACCTAAGTGAATGTCCTCTGATTTTGTTTTTTTTTGTTTTTGTTTTTTGGAGACTTTGCTGTTAATAGTGATAACAGCTCTTTCTTCAAATTGATCTGAGATTTAGTGCAATTCTGACCAAAACCCCAGCAAGGTTTTAATTTCTTTCTTTTTCTTTTCTTTTTTTTTACTTGACAAGATGATTTTAAGATGAATATGGAAAAGCAAAAGGCTGTAAATAGCCATAGTATTCTCGAGGAACAAGACCAAGGTATCAGGTATCAGAAAGCAGTTTTTATTATTGTAATCATATCTGTGAGGATAATCCAGAAAGCAAAGGGCCAGAAACGGGTCAGTGGATCAGAAGGGAGAGCCCAGGAATGAATCTGTGTAGCCTTGACTAATGGTGGAGGTGGCACTGTGTGCAGGTCAGTGGGAAAAGAGTGGGGCGAGAGGATTTGTTTGTGTAGAAAAGCATGAAATTGGATCTGTGTTTTATACCATATGCCAAAATCAGTTGCCAATGGAGCAAATACATGAGCGTGCAAGGCAAACTGTAAATCTGGTAGATGTTACTGTAGAAGACTGTTGAGGTGTAGGGAAGGCTTTCCTAAACATCAGGAAAAGCACAAATTACAAAGGACTTACTGATAGGTTGCACCCCATTAAATTTAAGAACGTCTGTGGTCATCAAAAGATACTTTAAGGACTGAAAAGAAAAGCCACAAATTGGGAGGTAATTTCTTTGTTTTTGTAACCTAAGTAAAACATTATTTAGAGCGTGGTAAGAACTCAAATCAAGAAGGGAAAGATAAACATTCCCAAAGGAAAGTGGACAAAGACTGGACCAGGCACTTGATAGGAATCATGGAAGACCTGTAAACAAACCATAGGAGGTGGCCACCTCATTAAAGAACAACAAGATGCAAAGCAAAGCACAGTCAGATGACCTGGCACGCCCACCAAGTTGGCACACGTGAAAAAGTGAGCGAGAGGCAGTAGTGAGGTTAGGGGCCAGTTGCCAGAGCGCCAGGACTTGCATCCACCCAGCACGAGGCACAGCTACAAGGAGCCTCTCCTAGTGTCACTGGGTTCAGAGGCAGGGGCTAGGACTTGAGGTCCTCACTGGTACGAGTACACTCGGACATGAGAACAAGAAAGCAGTGCAACTAAGCCAGTGCCTTCAGCAGACTAATTAATCAGTTGTGGTTCCTCCCCCTCGCCAGAGTGGAATGTTCTATGGCAGTAAAACGGAACAAGTTTAAGCTGCATATCAACATGGGCGAAATCTCCCAGAAGAGGCTGAACAAAGGCAGTCACAAAGACTTTGTACAATGTTTCCATTTGTATAAAGTTAGAAAGTAGGCATAGCTGATGGATAGGTTAAGTAAAGGCACCTCTGCAGGGTAGAACTAGAAGAAAGATCCAAGGAAGGGCTAACACAAAAGTCACAAAGATTGGGGTGAGGGTTGCCACGGGGGAGGCACTCCTCCCTGAAAGGCAGCGGTGGCTTTTAAACATTGGCCGTGTCACTCCACTCAAAGGTGAGACATGGTACATGTGTGTGTATGCTTGCACCCATGTCTAGGTGATGGAGAATAGAAGGTCTCCACGGTAGGATTGACGCCTTACATTAGGTGCGCTCAGTTATTTTCCTTTTAAAATGTGCCAGTTGTGAGCCTCTAAATTGATTTGTCACTCCCCGTTTGAAAACATTGGCTAGGCACATAGGCATTTGTTTACCGTTCCTCTTCACATTGTCCTCATCTGTTTTATTCACCTTCTTTCTAAGAAGTTCTTTTTTTTTTTTAATTTTTTTTTTCTTTATTTATGATAGTCACAGAGAGAGAGAGAGAGGCAGAGGGAGAAGCAGGCTCCATGCACCGGGAGCCTGACGTGGGATTCGATCCTGGGTCTCCAGGATCACGCCCTGGGCCAAAGGCAGGCGCCAAACCGCTGCGCCACCCAGGGATCCCTATTCACCTTCTTTCTAAAGCAAAAACCACTCAAAGCAGGTGGGGACAGGGCGTGGCCGGGGCCTGCAGCTAGAGCGTCAGATGCCTGGGCAGGGCTCACTCTGCGGAGCCCTGTGGACTCTGGGGAGCCCTGTGGACTCTGGGGAAGGTGGACTTGAACTTAGCTCTGGGAGTTCCGTGGGAGACTGAGTGGCAGGCACTCGGGGAAGGGTTTCAGCTGCATAAACATCTCCACTGTTTGCTGTTGGTATCTTTCCAGCAGGCTGTGCCCAGCACACTCCCCAGGGTGGGAACCTTCGGTGGCTGTCAGCCCTGGACCTCAGTTCTGTCCAACTTTGCTGGCCTGGGACTGCACCCTTAGGGTGGTTGCCTGTCCTGATGTGGGGCAGACCCTGATGTGGCTCACGTGGCCTAGTGTCCTTTCCTTTCTCACCCCAGCTGGCCAGACCTTTCTGAGGACATAGCTGAGCCTACCCTGCCTTCCTACAGGTGCCAAGCCAGCTGCCTCTGTCGACCCATGGGGCGTGCCCACTGGCACCAGCACACACTCCGTCCCCAAGGGCTCAGACCCCTGGGCGGCCCCGCAGCAGCCTGCACCCAGTGCCGGGAAAACAGCGGATGCTTGGGCTGCAGCCTCAGCTGCCAAGCCCGTCTCAGCCTCTGGTGAGACTTTGTGCAGGCTCTGGGAGCCACTTGGGGTGCACTGCTTTCCCCTTTCCTGGCTCCTTGGCATGGGACCTGTGGGTTTGTCTGCACTTGCTACCCTTGTCACCTGCAGCCTTTGTCTGCAAACCCCCCTCCATCCCACCCCACCCCACCCCGATGCCATAAGCCCACCGTAAAGGGCGAGCTCATGGACGTTCTCAGCCCCTGCGCTTTTGTCCACAGGGAGCTTCCTGAGGGGGCCTGGGCAGGCAACCTTCTTGGTGGTACTTCCAGTAGCTTCCTACAGGCTCTGTCCAAGCCCCCAAACCTGGCTCAGAAGTCTCTCCACCATCAGCCCCTCCTTCAGTTTGGGGGGGAGCTGATGGGAGCAGCGACACACAAACGCTCCCAGACCACCAGTGACCCCATGTTGCCCTCTGGCTGTCCGTTCTCCCCCATGAGCAGGTGTAGAGATCTCTCCCCTGCCTGCTGCCAGCACACCCCTAGGATTTAGCCTGGGAGTCAGAATCACGGGTACGTCGTGGTGCATGCACACTCACCAGCCTCTTATGTTCACCCAGGGGCCTTTGATCTGTTCAGTAATTTGAATGGTACAATTAAAGATGACTTTTCTGAATTTGACAACCTCCGAACTTCAAAAAAACCAGGTAGGTGAAGGTGGTTGTAGTTTCCATGATGTTCTGTTTGTTACTGCAGTCCAGTTATTGTAGAAATAACCTGCTTTCAAAACCTATCAACTTCATGCATTTTCTTTGTGTTTTGATCTTGGGAGCTGTAAGTGGCCGATGGCAGTAATTCACACATCAGCAGTGAAATGTCAGGGGGTTGAGTTTTTCTTTCATCCTCTCCTAGTGTTGGGCCTGTGCTTCCGGTCTCATTCACCTATGTCTCGGTCCCGCCCCTAGGCCCCACGTCCTCTGCACAAGCCCCCCACCCCACCCCCTGCAACACCCCGGCGTGGGGCCCACCGTCCTCCTGCCAACTTCCCACAGTGCCGATTTTCAGAGACAGTCCCAGCTCTGGGCCCGGATAGGGCATCTCTGCCCTACTTAATCACCCCAGGTTGTGGCTCCCACCCAGCCCTTATCAGGGCCCTGGCCCATTGTCCCCAGGCTGGCAGGGCATCAGGGTGGGGTGCAGAGTGATAGGGTGGGGAGGGGGCCGAGGCCAGAGCCACACCTCCCAGCCACATAGAGCAACTTCTCTCCTTTCTCTTTCCTCTCTCTGCTTCTCCTTGTGCCCCCCATTCTCCATCCGCCCTCCCGCCTCCTCCCACCGTGTCCCCCAGCGGCAGCTACAGGCCTGGCTGGCCTCTGTCTAAGGTACGAGCAGCCTGGCACCCCTGACCGCCCCTTGGCCCCCTCTCTGCTCAGGGGACCAGAGGCAGCCTAGAACATGCTGCTTCGTTGGGGGGAAGGGGGGAGTGTCTTTCTTTTGCTGCATTGAAAAGACAAAATTCCATGCATCTCCTCGGCAGACCAAAGTGCAGCCTACTTGTCCTTGCCTGCCCGCGTGTACCTCAGCGAGAAGGCAGTGTGGCCTTGTTACATGGACATCTTGTTGTGCACTTGCAAAATCGTTGCCTCCAATCCTAAAGCTGTTCCATTGTAGAAAATGCAGAAAAGCTTATGGAAGAAAACAGAACCCCTCTATAATCCTACCTACCCCCTCTGCCCTCCACTGTGTTTCCTTCCAGCATTTTTTCTGAGCTCTGTTTACACGGCCTTCTTCTTCTTCTTTTTTTTTTTTTTTGGGGTCCAGCTGGTACTAGCATTGGATCCTGCCTCCCTCCCTCCCCTTTGCGGAATAACGGGTTGAAAACATTTTCTCGTGTTGTTAAAAATGCTTTAGAACCTATTCTGTAGCAATACTTACTCGTATTGCTCAGCAGTCACCATTTTGCTCTTTACCCTCGGGGAGGACATTTTAGGTTGATTGCGGGTTTTGCTGAAGTACATAACGCTGTGATGAACATCCTTTTGTGTTTGAGTTCCCGTTCACATTTCACATCATTTCCTGAGACTGGATTCCTAGAAATGGCATTATCCAGTGGAGAGTATGACCATTTTTAAGAACCCATAACCCCGCTGCCATGTCGCAAAGCAACCCCTCTCCCCAGCCTGTCTCAGTACATCCTCTGTTGGCTGAATTTTTAAAAATAATTTGCTTTCTTCTCTATCAAGAAATTCATGTTCATTGTAGAAAATTGACGGTGAAAACCCATGCAAAACATGAAATGCCCATGCCTGGCTTGCAACCACAAATAACATCCTAATGTTTTTGGAGGATTGTGCAGTATGCACCGTTTTGTCGGTCGCTGTTCACCTGATGTTGTGATAATGGCCCTCTTTCATCATGAGGCCTTATGTCCCTGCACTCTGAGTTTGGTTACATGAACAGGGGTTCTGTAAGCTGCCCCTGTGTCTGACTGTCCCTGGTCGGGTCTGTCGGAGACAGCACTGCAATGAACATCTCCATCTTCCGCGTGGCCACCTGGCTCCCCCCACAATGTCTGTGTCTTGCTCGGGATGCTCCTGGGGTTGGTGGCATTGGATGTGGCAGTCTTGGTGGCCCCCCCCCCCCATACTCACTGTGCTCCCCTGTGTCCTTGTCTTGTAGCCGAGGCAGTGGCCTCTCCACCATCCCAAAACAATGGAACTACGAGCCCGGACCCCTTTGAGTGCCAGCCCCTGCCCGCTGCCTCAAGCAAGCCCAGCAGCGCCCGGAAAACACCTGAGTCCTTCCTGGGCCCCAACGCGGCCCTGGTGAACCTGGACTCGCTGGTGACCAGGCCAGCCCCACCGGCCCAATCCCTCAACCCTTTTCTAGCACCAGGTATGCTCTCGCTGGGGGGGTCCCTCTGCTTGTCGGCCCCCTTCCTGAGAATGGGTCTGGGGGGTGGGCCCCAGGCCCTGACCTCTCCTCCACCTCTGGGGGAGCTCTACCTGTGGGACACAGAGCCACCACCCTCGGAGCCATGCCCGGAATTCCTAGGCCTCTCTGGGGCCTCAGGGGGCGGAGCGTGCATGCCAGTGTGTAGTTAGGGGGTTGGGCGGAATAGCCCTCCTCTCAGTTGAGAGCACGGAGCAGAAGCTGCCCCTGACTTGGTCCCATGGCCAGGGAGACCCTCCAGCGAGCGCCACTTCTCGGTCAGCTGCAGAGGGCGGTGACGGGTGAGGGAGAACCAGACTTTGCTGCCCAACGTTCCCCTGTTGGGGGGCCATTTCCCAGGGACCCATGGACCCTCACTTAGGCCATCTGAGGTGCTGGATTCTGCCTTTCTGGGGGGCCCCGCCCTCTTACCCCCATATCCCTGCTCCCTGCTGTGGGTTCTGTCTACAGGCCTGCTCTCCGCCCTCGGGCCTACTCTCCGCCCTCGGGCCTGCTCTCCACCCTCAAAGTCTCCATGGGGGCTACAGGACAGCCCCCAGCCCTGCTTCCGTGTCCAAGGCCCTGCCCTCCCTTGTGTGCCCTCCCAGGGTGCTCACACCCTCAGAGGCGCCGAGCTCCTCACCCTGCATGTGCTGCTCCCCCTGCCTGGAGTGCCCACCATCCGCTCTTCCAGTGGGCGGTCATGGTCATGCTCAGCACCCAGCCCAGCTCCCTCTAGGGAGCTTCCCCTACCCCGGTAGGCCAGCAGGGCCTCAGGCTCCCCAAGGGCCAGCCTCTGTCCTATTCAGGGTGTTCAGTTTGAGACCCTCCCCCAGAAAGCGGGATCTGAGGCCCGGCACCACAGCCCCTCAGAGGACCCTGTAGAGAAGGACCCCAGGACTGAGAAGAGCTGAGGGTGGGGGCCCCTGGGCTCCTGCTACCTCTGAGCGTGCTGGGCTCTGGCAGGGTAATGAGAGAGGCTGGTGCGGGAAGGCCGGCTGTGCCCCCGCAGGGCCTGCCCCCCTCCCCCACCCCGGGGTGCGGTGGTAACAGGGAGCACCTCTTGGCCCTGGCCATGGGGGGCTCCTCAGCAGGCAGCCGTTGTGCTCAAGGGCCGGGCTGCTTGGGAGACACAGTGCTGGCAGCTCTCGGGTGTTTTGGCAGAGTACCAGCAGACGTTTTCTCTAAAAGCTGGGGAGAGGCTTTATGATGCGTGATAAATTCTGGAAGCACTGAATAAGATCAAGCTGCATCTGCTTCTTGACTGCAGGGCTTCTCAGAGCCTTTATTACGCCACCCCTTGGGTCCCAGGGTCCAGTGTGGAGACTGCCACTCCCAAGCCTCTCACTGAGGTTTCCACCTGCCCCTTTGCACTTCTCTTTCCCAGACACCTGTGGTCACAGAGCTTGGCAAACACAGTAAGGGAGCGGTGGCAGCTGTTTGTTGCTGAGGGAGTCCTGGGGTGCTGGCTCTGAGCAGGCATGTTCCTGGCACTGCCATATTCAGGCTCTGTGACTCCACACGAGTCACTTGGCTTCTCACGGCCTTAGTCTCCTCATCCAGACATTGTAGATTCAGGGAGTGGGTGTATGTGCCATGTGTTGGTTGGCACTGCCCTGAGCTTCTCCAGCCCTTCGACTTGTGGGGGGGGTGGGCAGGGTATCTTTCTGACTGTACCCATTACCCCTCCTGGTCTCTCCCCAGGTGCAGCTGTGCCCTCGGCCCCCGTCAACCCCTTCCAGGTAAACCAGCCCCAGCCATTGACGCTGAACCAGCTGCGAGGGAGCCCAATCCTGGGGACCAGTGCGTCCTTTGGGCCGAGCCCAGGTGTGGAGCCCATGGCGGTGGCCTCCATGACCTCCTCAGCCCCACACCCGACTCTGGGGGCCGGCGCTTCCTCCCTGACGCCGCTGGGCGCCCCCTCGATGAACATGGTGGGCAGCGTGGGCATTCCTCCCTCGGCATCTCAGGCCACCAGCGCGACCAACCCCTTCCTTCTCTAGTGCCCAGGACTGGGACCCACCGCAGAGTGAATGCCCAGAGCATCTGTGCCTGAGGATGCTGAGCAGGGACTCGATTGTGGAATGGTGTGCGAGAGTGTGTGTGGGGGGGTGTTAGAGCTTTCCAGTTCCGGCTTCCTGATCAAAGGGTTGTCTTCATAGCCCCGACCCTCAGACTCAAACGGCGGCAAACCTGCTGGATGTCAGACATGGCACATGGGGTTCCGCACCTTCTGAGGCTGCCCGCCTGCCCATCCCCAGCCCACAGCCCTCGGGAGGGGCCCGACCCGGCTGCCTCCCTGCTGCCTCCCAGGCGCGGGGTCCTGATCCTGGAGATGGGTTAGCTCTCTGGAGCCTTAGACGAGGAAGGGGGTGGAGGCAGGAGTTGTCAGCGTCACCAGTGTCGCCTTCACCCTGGCCGCCTCAGCCTGAGGGCCTCTGGGACACCGCCTGGCCCAGGCCTCAGGACGGCCGCCCTGTCTCTGCGCTCCCAACCCCCCCCCCCCCCCCCAGCGCTAGCAGCACCCCAGGCAGTCCCGGGTGTGGACAGAATGAAGCACCGGCGCCACGAGACACTGACCTTTAGGGGAAGTGGTTGTGCATATTTTATTTTTCTTTGACTCGTGTGTGAGTTCAAAGTAAACACCACCGTGAAACAACTCTTGAATTAAATCCACTAGAGCAAGCTTTAAACTAATCTGAGCATAACCCTGCCACGTGGCTCTATGCTTGTATACGTTTGCACATATTTTGTTTAGTACAGTTTCATATTTGAGTTTGCAGAATTATCTAATAGTCTTTTTTTGGCTAATATTTTTATAACGTGGTTCTTATTTAACTGTCTAGTTTTGATAGAATTTACCAGGTCTGGCTGAATTAAGATATTGGCACATGTCATGTTAGTGGTTTAAACCCTCTTATTTATGGTTTTTAACTCTAAGGAAATTTAAATAGGAAGAGACAAAAAAAAATGCCTTATGGAAAAAACTAAAGCAAATTCTTTATAGGGAAAAATACGGGATTTTGGTTACACAGAAAAGATGATGTATATTTAAAACAACAACAACAAAACCTACAACAGCAACAAAAAGTCTCAGCCTCTAGTTGCCTTTTCCTTTCTTTTATTCTCTTTTTTGGTGACTTACCAAACTGATTGACCTGCAATCTTTTGGGCTAGATCCTGAAAGAGGCTATTTTTCTTACTGCTACACCAACATCAAGTTAAAGGAAAAAAACCCTAATGTATGAATGTGACTCACCAGTTTTTATCAGCTAATTTCCCTTTTGTAACTGAAGGCATGCACAGATCAACAAGGACTTCCATTGACAGTGGAAATTTGAAACGGAAGAGGCATCTTGACCCTTGTGTGTCTGTGATCTCCTCTGTCTTAATCCGCACTCAGGGTAAGGATGGGGATGGCATGGTGTGACGGCAGGCGTTGTGGGGGGCACCGGCTCCCTGGGGCTGGCCTCCAGGCCGCGAGGGTGAACGACCAGGGCTGGCCCTGACCCACTCACCTGCTAACTCCAGACACACACTGCAGACTTAAAAATAATCAGCTCTTATTTTGGAGAGGAAAAAAAAAAAGTCATTCTCACACAATAGATTTTTAACAAACATGCACTAATATTACCTCCTTCCCAATTTCCTGCTTTCCTTGCCCCACTCACCACTAGGAGAAAAAGTATGAAGTCATGAAATAAAGACCAGAAAAGATGTGCTTCTCCCCAGGGAAGGGACCCCTCCCCTCGCCGCCTACCCCAGCCCCCCTATCCTCCTCCGGTGAGTTTGCTGGCCTGCGTTCCAGTCTTGCTTTCCACTGTGGACTTCTCTACCCCGACTCCAAGGGCAGCTGACCCCTGGGTGTGCCTCCACTCTCCCCGGTTCCGGGAGGGGATCTGACCCTGAGCAGGGCGTAGGAGCACCAAGAGGCCAGGAGGTGAGCAGGCCGAGTCAGAACAGCCTTCCCCAGCCACTCCTGTCCCCCATCTCTAAAAGCTCCCCCATGCTGCGGCCCTAGGAGCCACCCTGGAACTCCTGGCCAGCCACCCCTCTGCCAGAGCCGGGGAGCTGGTGCTGGGCTGTGGGCTCCAGCCCACTCCAGCCTCTTCCCACCCGGGGAGGGTGGAGACAGGGAAGGGCCCACAGGTTGCTCCCCTGGGAGGCACTTATACTCATGGTGCAACCTGGACCCCTTCCCAGGCCAGTAGACCACACCTGATGACTTGGTCAGGGATTCTTCTGTAACAGCCAAGAACCCTTCCTGATTTGACTTTGAGGCCCCAACATTCTAGCCACGGGGCCGCCCAGGCCCCAGAAGACCCCTCCCCGCCCCACCCAGTCCCCCGGCACAGGCCCGTCCCCGGCGCCTTGTCCCTGTTGCCTGCTGCACTGATCATGAAGCCACCGGCCTCTGCCACGCGTGTAGTACACATGCCATCACACTCCCTCCTGATGGGCGCTGTGTGAGGGGGTGTCACCCAGCCGTTTTCTCAGTCTCAGGGGCCGGTGGCTGGTTTTGAACTTGTGTTGACTATTGATACTTATTTACTGTACAAATATAATTTATCATTTGTATCATCATGCGGTTTCTGGCTGTGTCCTTTCCTTGCCCCCACCTGCATGCACGGGAGACGGGCGATCGGGAGCTGCTCCTGGTGCCCGCATGAGCCCCTGTATGTTGGGGAAGGAGACAGGCCAGGAGGCAGCCCTCGGGACACCACGACAGGCAGTCTGCGAGGGCGTTGGTGGGTGTCCTTGGGATCCTGCCATCAGAGGACACAGTGGCTGAGGGCAGGGATGGAAGAGGCGTTCCCATTGCAGGTGGATGTCTGGCCCAGGCTAGGGCCTGGCAGAGATCTGCTCCGGGGCAGCCCCACACACCCATCTCTCTGCTGAAGGCCTGGAGGCCCGGTGTCCGCTCAGGGAGCAGGACTTGGCCCGGGGCCCGGGGAGGGTTTGCCAGAGTTGGGGCAGTGGGCAGCGCCGGTTTCCAGACACGTGCTGTTACGCTGCCTTAACAAACCACCTGTCCGTGGCTTAACGATACCCGTTTACGTCTCACAAAGTCTGGTACCTCCTTGGGCTGCTCTCCACCGTGACGACTCCACCTGTGATCTACGTGGCCATCGGGTGGCCATGGAAGGGAATGAGCGAGCAGAGTGAGGAGGGGGGCGGTTTGTAGGGACCTAGCAGTGGCTCCTCCCTGTGGAGGAGCAGGGGTTTGGGAAATGCAGGCTTCCTTTGTGCCCTGGGGGACAGGAAGTGGGTCAGGTTACCACATGGCTGGGCTCTGTCACTACTGGCCTTCTGGTCACCAAACACTGATTTCAGTCCACACAGAGCATATCCCTTCCCCAAGGGGAGGCACCCTAGGGTCGCTTACAGAATCACAAGAGGTCACGGATGGTGGTGGTTTTAGGTGACAGCGTTTGGAGCTGTTTGTTACATGGTGGTAGGTAACAGGCACACACATAAGATTCTTCCCCAGAGGCAAGCCCGCCTTAGTTCCTTGCCGCCTTACCCCCGTGCTTTCAGCCCACTGGCAGCTGCTGCTGGGGCCTATTTGGGATAATGGTGGGAGCCTGATTCTTAACCAGGTGGTTGAGTTGCTTGGCCCCGTGTTAAGTTTTCCTGGGACTTCAGTGCTCACAGCATGTTTCCTTCTTACCTCTTCCCATTTGACTTCAAGAAGACATTTCCTTTTTCCAACCTTTCTATTTCTGTCCTTTCTGCGTGCAAACAGGCCTTTTCCTTCCTGAGCTCACAGCTTTACTGTGCTAGCTTCTCAAATGCAGCCGACAGTGCCTCCCACCCCACGCATCCTATTACCTACCCCTGCCTGCTCCTGGAGCTGGTTCAGCAGGCACAGAACCTGCCTCCCACGTCAGCACGAGTGTCTTATCTAGTTTTACGCTCACCTAATAGAGCTGTCCTGCTGTCCAGCCTTTTATCTGTACTCTTCCTGCCTGTCACCCAACTGTACGCCACATACACTTGGTTTGGGTTTTGGTTATACTGGAAACCCACTCCTGATTGCAGTTCCCCTGTCAAGACTCAAATAGGCTCTGCAGAAACAACCCCCAAACTCTCTGTGGGAGAATGCAATAAAAGTTGCTCACAAAATGCCCAGTGGGGACGCTCCTGGCAGCTCAGTGACCCAGGCTCCTCCCTGCCATGTTCCGTCTTCACACCGTGGCCTCCAGGGAGCCAAGGGGAAGGATGGAAGGATCACCCAAGGGAGGTTTTGCGTGGACCAGGCCTAGAAGTGCTGAGCATCCTTTCAACCCCCTTTCTTTGGCCAGAACCACTCCCAGGGACCCATGTGTATGCAAGGGGTCTGGGGAATGGAGTCTTCTCGTGAGCCCAAGAGAAAAGATGATGTGCTGAGCACACAGCGTCGTCTCCGTGGAGGACAGAATGGACAGTGAGGGGAGAACCGTCCTTGGCGGACGGCCCCAGATCTCCGCCCTGGAAGCTCCCCGCTTCCTGGGCACAGAATGCCCTCAGCCTCCCAAGTTTCTAGACTTCCCCTGCCTTGACTGGCTGAGGCATGAGGCAGCCTTCTGAAGTGACGGTAGCTTTCCAGACTGGGTGTCGGGCACCTGTTGGTCGAAACTCTGCTCGTGGCACACTGGAGATGTATGCAGTTCTGTCCGTGTCAGTGTTGACACCTACAAATACGGAACTCTAGCCGCGGGCAGGCGTGCGGAACTGTGCAGGAGGAGGTGTAGTGATGGCTGGCATTTATCTTGAAATACACTAAAAACAGGCCAGGTGGAAGCAGGGACAAGAACACAAGTCCGGGCAGATGGCAGGTGTGGAATTGGGGCGGCTGGCGTCCAGCTGGTCACGGTGACCTCATTTCAACTTTTCTGTGTTTAAACATTTTCAGAAGAAAACGATCAAACTGCACTGTGGAACAGAACAGGAAGAGGGTGAAGCGCTCTGTCAAGGTGCTGGCAGTCCGGTCCCTGCGACCTGGCACCAGGCCTGTCAGGATGGGTTTCTGGGCAAGGAAACCTGAGAGTACCTTGAGGGCCCAGTGTCTCCTAAGACCTTAGGTGGGACCACAGTGTCTCTTGGGGCTGGACATGACAGTGGAACAGAGGAAGCCCTTGCTTTTTTAAAGAAATTTTATTTTTTTATTGTTTTAAAATATTTTATATATTTTTTCACGAGGGACAGAGGGGCAAAGGGAGAAACGGGCTCCCTGATGCAGGACTCGATCCCAGGACCCTGGGATCATGACCTGAGCCAAAGGCAGAGGCCCAACCACTGAGCCCTAGGTGCCCCAAGAAATTTTATTTTTTATTTTTTTTTAAAGATTTTATTTATTCACGATAGTCACACACAGAGAGACAGAGGCAGAGACAGAGGCAGAGGGAGAAACAGGCTCCATGCAGGGAGCCCGACGTGGGACCCGATCCCGGGTCTCCAGGATCACGCCCTGGGCCAAAGGCAGGTGCCAAACCGCTGCGCCACCCAGGGATCCCAAATTTTATTTTTTAAAAGTAATCCCAAGCCCCAGCATGGGCCTCAAACTCACACCCCCCCCCAGATGAAAAGTTGCACACCCCACCCACTGAGCCAGCCAGGCACCCCTCTAGGATGGTTTCTGTTTCCCCATGAGCCCTTCTGCTGAGGGTGATGGCTACTGGACACATGAAGAGGAAAGACACAGGGAGTGGAGCTTCTCTAAGATGCCAGCGGAGCTGGCGGAGGAGCGATGGGTCTGCGTGTGGCTGTGGGGGAGCCCTGGCTGCAGACTGAGCAAGGCAGGCCTGGGGCTGGCTGCAGTGACAATACCCCAGTCAACTGCTCCCTGTCACAGGGTGAAGCAGATGGAGGGACACAAGGCCCAGCAGTGGAGGGTGTGGGATGAAGGTACTTGTGATGACCCTCGTGAACTCTAAATTGGGCTGGGAGGAAAGGGTTGGAGGGATGATGGGCAGCCCACAGGGTGGGGGGGGGGGCTTGCAGGACCAGGCCACGAAAGACTCCTGGCTGTGGACCACAGGAAGACCCACAGGGCAGGGAGGGTGATGCTGCTTGGGTGCGGATCTTGGAGACCCGGCCATCACCGGGGATGAGAGGTAGGCACTGAGATGGGTGGCTGCTGAGGGGTCAGGCCAAGGGCACTAGGGAGGTGGTGAGGAAGAGGGTAGTTGAGGGCGGGCTCCTCTGCATGGACGAGCACAGGGTGTCAGGAGGGCTGGAGACAAAGCCCAAGGGCAAGGGAGGTGGCAGCCAGCCCGGGTGTCCCAGAAGCGAGGAATGCTGGTGAGGGGCAGGGGGCTGCATGTGTCACCCGGGGCCGCAGGGACACGGCTGGGCCAGCAGAGCCCCTGCTGAGGAGGGCTGCGAGGGCCAGTGTGGCTCTCAGCACAGCAGAGGCAGAGGGCACCAACCATTCCGAGGAGGGAGTTAGAATTACAGGACCAGACCACGGGTCCCAGAGCACACGGGGCATGGGGGGGCCGCGACGGGGGGCCCGAGCAGCACAGAGTCCCGGGGCTGTGGGGATCTGCGTGGGGAGGACTCAGCTCAGCGGGACTCCTGCTGTGAGACCAGAAGGCTCGGGTGCCGGCAGCTTCGGGCCTCTGGGAGGACTTCCACCCTGTCCTCGGGGCTACAGGCCTGGGGGCCAGCAGGGGACAGGCTGGGCCCCCCTGCAGCTCCTGTCGCCAAGGAGGAGCATGTGTGGCTGGAAGAAAGGCCACATGGCCGACAGTGGTGGAGCCAGGCCTGAACCAGACTCACATCCCAGTTGGGCCATCATGTGGCTCTCGGGGCAGCCGTGTCCCCTGAGCAATGCAGGGATGGGGGCAGTGCCAGATGGAGAGGCGGCGGCTCCAGGCCTGGGTTCTGTGAAAAGGTGATGCTTTATTATCAAAATCCGCCCCAGCCCCCCTGAGGCTGCACGTCAAGCACATGGATCTGTGGCCGGCTCTCCGGAAGGACAGCCCTGTGTCACCTGAGAGCCGCGGGGCCGTATGCAGTGGTGGTGGTGGTGGCCGTGGCCGGTGTGTGCCTTCACCGGGGGAGGCCCTGTGGTGGGCTGGGCCCTGGGGCGCCCTGCGTGTTGGGAGGCCCAGTGTCGTAGCCCAGCTTCCTCATGTCCTTGGTCACCACATTGAAGAGGAGAGTGACAAAGCCCTGGGAGTGGACGCGGGTCACTGGGGAGAGGACGCCAGCCATCAGCCAGGCTGCTATGGGGATGGCTCAGCCTCCATGGTCTCTCCTGCCTGGCCCACACCCCCCACCAGGAAGTACGGGGGGGCCGCACCTGGACAGACAGTGGGGTGAGGGGGTGTGGGGGGTAGGAGGGTGAGTGCTGCTCCACCGAGAGGCCTGGGGCTGCTCCCACAGTCCGCCCAAGTGCCTGGCTGTTCCTTGGCTTGCATCCTGTCCCTCCCGGGCTCCAGCTTGCCCATGGCAGGGACAGGGGTTGGGGAGGGTGATGGTGAGGAGACCAAGCCTTACCTTCCCGGCCTTCCCCCTGAGCCACCACCTTGGGGTCTGTGTACTCGGGCCGCCGTCCCATGAACCAGCTGGTTAGACAGGAGAACCTGGGTGAGCAGATCCTCGACCTGGCTGTCCCTCACACCCGAGACCTGGGCTCCCTCCTGGCTTTAGAAACCAGCAGCTCTCCTCCACCCCTGCCCCAGGGCTGGGTCCTGGGCCGAACCTTCCCACGCCAGCTCCCCCTGCCGTGTGTGGCATCACGGAGGCCCGGCAGGCTTCTACTAGGCCTGTGCTGTTCTCGGCCCCCCCGTCACAATCACCCACATCTTTGAGGGAGATGTGGGGCTGGGGGCACAGAGGGGACAGTGGCTGGGTGCGGGCAGTGTGAACCACCCCCCCGCTCCCCGTCCTCCCAGGGAAGGAGGGCCCTGTCCTGGAGTTCAGCATTGGCATCCTTGGGGTGGGTAGAGAGGTCAGCGGTCAGCTCTGTGCTCTCCACTTCCCTCTCCATAGTGTGGAATCCAGGACAAGTCACTTGCCACCTCCAAATCCCTGAACCCCAGTTCCTCTCATGTGTACCCAACGGTACTGAGCTCACGGGGCTCCCGGTGAAGGCACTTGGTCAACTACCAGGTGAAACATCAATCCTACCATTTACAGTTCTCACTCTGAGATTCATGATCCTCTGACCCACAGTCACAGGGGAGGGCTGTGGCACTGGGGGCCCCAACAGGCCCACTGTCAACCTGCCCCTCCCAGGGGCCCACACTCTGTAACCACCCCCCTTTCAGAGGCTAAGGGCAGTGCGGGCACTTGCCTGAGGCCACAGGCAGCCAGAGCCAGGGCAGCTCCTTCTGGAGCAGCAGCCTCGCCTCCAGCGCACCCACTCGAGCTGGAAACAATCTAGGTGCACATTCCTGGCTGGGTGGGCCCGGCAGACTCGGGTGTGCACCCGTCCAGGGGAGGCCGGGAAGGCAGCTGCGGGCAGGGGGCTCCCCGTGGGCACAGAGGCCCCTCTGTGGTCTATGGAGGTCCCTGCAGTTCAAGAGCAGGCTCTGCCCTGTCTTCTTCTAAAGCGGCCGACCTGGGAGGGCTGGCAGGGCAAGGCCACCCTCCCAATGAGTGCCTGGCACCCTCCCCAACCAGGAGGCCCTCGGCTCCACGCTGGAATCTCCCCTTGGCTCAGGCCACCCTGAGCCGCCCCTGGTCCCTCGCTGAGCCCTCCAACGAGGGTACCAGTGCCCACTGGTGCTGCCCAGGGGTGGGGTTCTGGCCCCGGTCTGTACTGGACAAAGCAGTGACTGTCCCCTGCTGTCTGCAGGCTGCATGGACAGCCACTAAGGAGGCTCACCTCCAGAGACAGAGGGGGATTGGAAGCTAGGGTTCCAGTCAGGTCGGGGTGGCGGGCCACCACCTCTCTGCCTCAGTTTCTCCATCCAAGGAGTGGAGCTCTCCAAGTCACGGGCATAGGAAGCAGTCACTGTGAGCCAGGCACCCCACAGGTTCTGCCCCGGCCAGCACAGCGGTATGGGCTAAAGCCCCAAACCCTCCCGTACCCACTGATGGGCACAGCCCCGTTTTCCTAACGGCCCAGCGGGGTGGGTGTTGTCCCCTCAAGCTGACACTGGCTCAAGGCACCTTCCCATTACGCTGGCCTCTGGAGGGGCTTCTGGGGGTGGTGGGATTCCCCCCCTTCCAGTCCTCAGAACTCAGGCTTCCTGGGCCAAGGCCCAATGTGGTCCCTGTGCCCAGCAGACCCCTGAGCCTCACTCCAACACCTTGGGTGGTCCTCCACTTGCCCACATCCAGCTGTGAGCAGAGGGCCCATTCCTGGATGACCACATGAGGAGCAGTGGTGGCTTGCAGCCGAGCCAAGCTGACAGGAGCTTCTGTACCCAACCTTGGGACAGCCAGCCAGCCAGGGCCGGGCTGGCGGGCCCTTTAAGCTCAGACTTGGATGTGGTAAGGGGCAAGAGGCTCCCTGCCTCCCTGGGGTCTCCCCACCTTCGCCTTGCTTGCCATCCCTTGGGCCTTGCATGTGATGCTTGCAAAGCCTGGAATGTTCCTTCCCCAGATTGCCCACACTGGCCCTCACTTCAGCTCGAGTTTCTGCTCAGATGTGAAGCATTTTCAAACAGATGGAAATTGCCCGTCAGGATTATTATTACAGTTCTGTTTGGCTCTTATTGCCGTATCCTCCTGTGTCCCACCTCTTTAATATCCTATTATGTGACAGGCTTGTCCCCATCTGACAAGACTATTGGCTCTGACGCCAAGGTCGGTAACAGGACATAGGGTAAAGGTGTGCAGCCTCCAACAGCGGCTGAAGGGAGCCCTGTGGCCCTGAGAAGCCCCATAGCACCCGTGTCCACGTGTCCCCAAAGACAGTGGCTGGAAGATCCCACAGGGTGACCCGGCGAATATGCCATTGCTCTGCAATGGTGACGTGCAGAAAACTCACCTCGTAAACTTTTGCAGCTTAGATGTGGATTCTGGGACAAACATGGGGATGGTCCTTTTGTGCCTGAAACAAATGTTCTCATGGACAGATGTGCTGAGTAGCAGGAGAGAGCTGGAACTTCCCGAGACTCCAGCTAGCAGGAGCACTCAATCAGGCAGGGCCAAGTCCGAGCCAAGGACAGCCTCCCAGGCAGGAGTGCTGTGTGCAGGGGGTGAGGTGGAGGAAACCGGGCCCACCTCGCACAGCCCAGAGTTCGGGGGAGTCTAGTGGCTTTTAAAGGGTCTGGAGGATGCTGAGGTGTCCAAATCCTCTACCATCTGTGATGTGGGCAAAGTCCCTGACCATTCCCTGGACTACTTCCCCCCCTCCCCCAAGTGCGGCCACCTGCCCCCATCTGCCCTCAGAGCCTGGAGTCCCGCCCCTCCCCGCCCCAGCCCTCCTCTCCACTCGCCTTCCCTCACATCTTGCACTTTCCATCTCAGCAACAATACTCAGGGCATCTGGCTGTTCCTCCATCTCCCTCCACCTTCTCCAGACAAACTCCTGACCTCTGTGCCCCAGATACCCTGTGTCTACACTGGTGACTGTGCTTCGCACAAGACAGCCGCATCTCTCCATCTGTGGGGGCTCCAAAGGAAGGGCCCAGGTGGTCACATAGGATGCCAGCAGGGCTGGGCACACAGGGACACTGGGGGGGGGGGCTCGTGGGACAGAGCCGGGGAGACACAAGAGGAGCAGACTGAGCATCTGAACCATAATCGCAGACCACCTATGCACTCTGCAGCTGGACCCAGTGCTCCCTCCTGGGGCCTCTGACACCCCCCCACCCAGCCTGCCCCCCAAGCCAAGCTGCCCAGGCCCCTGGGGACCACAGTGCACTCCCAGCCCCGCTGGGGGTGCCCTGATCCTAAGCCAGATGGCCCAGCAAGGGCTGGACTGTGGCCCAGGGGCCAGGTCAGAGCCACCACCTACCTGCCGGGTGAGAAAGGCACGTGCACTGCCCCGTAGCCTCGGACCACATCATTCCCAAACACATCTGGTCCATACACACTGAGCACGATCTGTGGCCCTTGGGAAAAACAAGACAGGGGGTCAGCAGGTGGGGAAACTTGGGGGAAGGCAGGGTACAGAACAGGGATGGCCTAGGGGCAGTGGGCTGCACAAGGGGCAGGGGTGGAGTGGGACACCCCCCTTCTCCCTGGAGGGCTTCTGCTGATCCAGAATCTGGGGAGGTGGGTGGGGACAGCAGTGGGGGGCACATCCTGCCAGCTAGGCCCCCTGCTCAGCCCGGATGCCCAGGGAGTCACAGGGCCAGGATGCTGTGCTGATCCTGTACCTTGACAAATGCAGGGAGTACCCCCAAGGGCACTCTGCTCCTCTATTCAAGGCACAGGGACCCAGCTGGGAAGTGAGCAAAGGGCCACCTCTTGGGAGCCTCCTTTCTGATGGGGTGGGGAGGGGGTCAGTTTCCAGCGCCTACTGCATGGGCTTGTGGGCCAGAGCGGCTGACTTCGGGGTTCTGTGGGAGAGGTCAGAGGGGAAGACAGACCTCCCATGCACTTTCCCTTAAGTTATCACACCAATCGCACGCATTCCCTGTAAACACTGAGGTACATCAGGTCCTTTCCTCTGGGTCAGTATATTAGTCCTCTGAGCATAGGGGAGAAACCACTTCCCGGGTGACAGGTGAGGCGGGGGAGGCCCAGGAAGCCATCCTGCCAGGCTGACCCTGCGGTCTAGGACAAGCCTCAGGCAATCACCTCCCCTCCCAGCCTCCTGGTTCCCTCCCCCCTAAGACCTGGAGATTAGCGACTGCTGCAGAGGGGGTGCTCAGCAAGTGTCAGGGACAATAGGTGTGTGTCCTTCCCATCACTCCCCCTCCCCCAGAGGCAGCCACTGTTTTGACTTGATGAAAGCACTGCTTTTAACGCTTCCCTGCCAAAGAATGCATCCCAAACACAGATTTGGTTTTATCCTTTTTAAAGGAAAGATTTTATGTATTTAATTTTGAGAGTGAGAAAGAGCAAGTGAGCTAGCAGGGGGAAGGGCAGAGGGAGAGGGAGAGAATCCCAAGCAGACTCCACACTGATTGTGGAGCCCAATGCGGGGCTTGGTCTCAGGACCCTGAGATCATGACAGCAGACACTTAAGCTAATGAGCCACCTAGGTGCTCTGGTTTTACCTATTGAAAAAAAAAAAAACTTTATACAGATGGAATCATACAGTCTGTGTATTGGTATCCAGCTTCTTTAGTTCAATATGTTTGGGAGATTCATTCGAATTGTGTTGTGTACGAGATGTCACTTTTTTTTCAGTGCTAGAGAACATGCTAGCTATGGACAGACCACGAGGACATGGTTCACTCCTGTGCCGATGGACATGTGGGTAGTTTCTCCTTGGGGGGCCCCTGCATGGTGAGACTATGAGCTCTCTGCCGCTCTGCTGAAGCTCTTGCCCCATGTGTGCACATGTTTCTGCTGGGCATGCCTATCCACACAGGGTATGCATACATTTGGTCTGAAAACAGAACATGGAGCTCTCTTCCAAAGGGCTCAGGGGGCGCCTGGGTGGGCTCAGTCAGTTAAGTGTCTGCCTTTGGCTCAGGTCATGATCTCAGGGTCCTGGGATTGAGCCCCATATCTGGCTCTGCACTTAGCACTGACTCTGCTTGTCCCTCTCCCTCTGCTCTTCTGCTCTCAAAAAAAAAAAAAAAAAAAGTCCTCCTTTACTTGATATCATGGCTCTAGTTTTCTATGCTCTCTTCCTAAAGTTTTCCTGCCATCCACCTGGAACTGACTTTGGTGGATGTATGGTACAAAGCAGGGCTTAAGTTTCATGTCCTGTGCATATCCCGTGGTCCCAACACCGTTTATCAACAGGATCCGCTTTCCCTTCCTGCCTCCCAGTGCCCTTTCTCAGGAATCACCTGTCTACACAGGCTTAGGTCTGGCTCAGAGCTCTCTCTGGATCATTTGCCTATCCTTGGACCTAAACTACACTGTCTTCGTTATTCTGCTTTATAACTCATCTGAAGTTCGATATGTAGTACAAGTTACATTTTGATATTATTGTGAAGAATTTCTTTTTAAAATATCACTTTTAGGGGCACCTGGGGGCAGTCCCTGCTCAGCGGGGAGCCTGCTTCTCCCTCTGCCCCTCACCCTATTCGTGCTCTCTCTCAAATAAATGAAATCTTAAAAATAAAATACCATTTTGAATCACTTTTTATGGACAAGAGAATACATATCCTATTCATTTTTATACAAAAAGCCACTGGTTTTTTACTATTTCATATCGGGCATTCATGCCAATTTATTATTTCTAGTAACTTATCTGTAGGTTATTCTGCAAATTTGACACACATAATGCCACCTATGAAAAGCAACAGTTTTATTCTTCCTAATTCCTATGCTTTTGTTTGTGGTGGCGGCGACAAGGAAATCTTTCACCATTTCACTTAGAAAAGGTGATGTTTGCTCTAAGTTTTTTGTAGACAGTCTTTATCCAATTAAGAAAGTCTCTTTCTACGAGTGCCTGGGTGGCGCAGTTGGTTGGGGTCCAACTCTTAATCTCAGCTTAGGTCTTGATCTTGGGGTTATAAGGCCCTGAGTTAAAAAATAAAAAAGTTTCCTCTATTCCTAGTTTTCTAAGTGTTTATCATGGATAGATGTTGAGTTTTATCATGGTTGCTTCATTAAGGGGATGATTATGACTTGCCTTCTTTTAAAGCACTGAATCACGTTGGTTGATTTCAAATATTATATAAGCTTTGTACCTCTGGAATAAACCATTCTTGTTCCATCCCTTTTACACCCTGTTAGATGTGGCTTATGATTATTTAGTTTGGGGGGTTTTGCAACCATGTTCCAAGGTCTGGAATGATCCGGAGCTGGGCTGCTCCCACTTCTCCCTTCCTCCCAGGGTGCAGCAAGCACTTCAAGGTCTTGGACCATTTTCCTGATTCTTGTGCCTCGAGCCCAGAGCAGCTGTCAAAAGTCTCGATCAACCTCTGGATCACCTCTGGTGGAGTCAGCTAATTCTCCAAGGGGCAATGTGAGTGAGATCACATCTCTAGATTTGTTTTCTCCTAGATCTTGGCTGGGGAAATCTCCAATACTTTGCTGGCTCTCTGATGCCTGCAAATAGTTGTGTTTGTTTTCACTTTTTATTTTTGAATATTTTATTTATTTATTTGAGAAAGAGTGAGAGCCAGAGAGATCACAGAGTGTGGGGAGGAGGAAGCAACAGACTCACCGCTGAGCAGAGAGCCCAATGTGGGGCTCAATCCCAGAATTGAGATCGTGACCTGAGCTGGAGGCAAATGCTTAACTGATTGAGCCATCCAGGTGCCCGTGTTTTCACTTTTTAATACTATATTCGCCTCTCCTAGGCTTCCTCAGCAGCAGGAGACTGGGCCATAATCTAGTCCTGCTCCAGGAAACCTACAGAAGCATTCTTACTTGTGGATAATGACAAGATGGCAGTCTCAGCCCAGGAGGACCTCCAGGCAGCCCCTGTTCCAGACCCCCCACACCCAGTAAGCCTAGGCCCCAAACTACATGCCGCAGAAAGGTCCAGACTATGAAATCAGATGGACCTGAAATCCAATCCATGCTCAGCTACTAGATAGAAGACCAAAGGCAAGCGATGTCACTTTTTTTGCATCAGTTTCCTGATGTGGAAAAAGAAACCAAGAGCAATCTATCCACCACATAGGATTAGGAAGCTAGGATAAGAGCACATGGGGTGAGTATTCACAGCCCCTCTGGAGCTAACCCAGGCCTTTACATGCAGTAGGCGCTTATTAAGTAAGAGTGAATGGTAACTACCAGGCAAGACACACAGTAAACACTGCAAGCAAGGAGGGTTCTGGGGAGGAGATCAGAGATGGCAGAGGGAACAGCACAAACCAAAACTCAGAGAGGTGGCTCAGGGGTGTGCACAGGAGGTGCACGTGGCTTTGGTTTGGCTGGAGCACAACACGTAATGGCAGGTTGAGGGCCACCAGGGTCAGGCCTGCCGGCTGGACTACAACATCCCAAACCCAGGCTCTGCCTTCCCCTGGCACAGAGGCTGGAGCCTCACCTGACACCCCCTGAGCTTCCTAAAGGTCAGTTCCACCACCAGTCCATGAGCTGGGGTGAGGGTGGTGGGTGGACATGGGAAGAAATGGCCAGGTGACAAGAGAGCACATGATGATGCTGGTACACAAGGGCCCAGGAATTGGGCAGAGAAGAGCTGAGAGTGGACAGGGGCGGTAGGATAAGGCCCAGCTGGCCCTGGGGGTGCCTCCCCGACCTGGTCCCTGCTGGGGCGGTGGGGGAGGAGGGGGAAGGCCCTGCAGACTCACAGCCATAAGGGTTGGTGCTTTTAAAGGTGACATCGATGGGGAAGTTCCACACCAGCGCTCGCCGCACATCTTGGCTCTTGGATGTGATCTGTGAGATGCCCTCCTCCAGACCCTGTGAGGACAGTGACTGTGACACCTGCTGCTGGCGCTCCAGCTGCCACACCCCTGCCCTTACCTTGGTGGCCAGGTGGGAGGGCTGGTTTTCTCCCTGTCTTCTGGCAACACACCGTCTTCCGCATGACGGGGACTCAGAGCTAATGGAGCAGCTCCTGGGTGTCTCCAGCTTTTATTTGGAGCCAGACGACCTGGAGAGCTGCCTGGGCGCGGGTTCTGGAGTTCCCGTCCCCTCAGCTGAGGAACTGGCCCCGGCAGGTTGTTCCCTCTTCCAGCACAGGTTCCCCAGACCCTTCACATCGGAGCCTGTGTGCCTACGATTCTATCAAGAAACTGTGCCAACTTGGCTTCTTCCTTCACCCGCCAACCCAGTTGGAGCTCCCCTGCTGAGCAAACTCCTTGATCAAGCCGTCCATACTCACTGGCTCCAACAGCACCAGTGACCCCAGCGTTGCTCTTTCTGTGGACAGTTCTCTGTCCTCAGTTTACCTGACTCTACAGCAGCACTGGACACAGCTGGTGGCTTTCTGACGCACTCCCCCTGGGTGGATTCTGGGACACCATATGTCTGACTTTGGGTCTTTCCTCCTCACAGCGGTGGGGGCGGGGGCTCTCAATGTTGCTGTCACCACTTCCTCCTTCATGTGGAAGCGTCATGGGGCTGATTCCTAAACCTGCATCCCCAGTCTGGTCCCCATCTCGGGCCTCCAGGGCAGCATGGCCCCACCTCCACTGCTGACCCTGCACCTCCCCCTGGGTATCTGGGGGGAAACCTCAACCTCAACACATGCCAGGCTGAGCTCTGGAAAGTTCTCCCATAACTGCTCTACCCAGTCTTCTCACCGAATGGCAGCTCTGATCCCAAGTGCCCAGGCTAAAAAGCTTGGTGTTATTCTTAACTCTTTTCTCTCACACCCCGCATCTGTCCAGGAGGGAACCCTGTTGTTTCCATCTTCAAAATATACTGGAAATTCAACTGCCTGTCACCCCCACCCCACCCATGGCTGCGCCTTGTCTGCGCGCTGTCTTCACTCCTCTGTTTCTGGTAACAATCCTTGGTCTCTATGCTTTGGCCCTTGCTTCCCATCTACTCTGAACACAGAAGCCAGGATGCTATGGAACACACAAGGCGGGTCACTTTGTCTCTGTCCCAGACTGAGGGGGTTCCATGTCTGAGTGAGGCCGTGGTTCTTTTACTGACTCACTGTGTCCTACAAGGCCTGTCCCATCCTCAACCCCCCTGCTCCATCTCCAACCACTCTCATCCCTGCTCATGCTCTTCACTGGCTACACAGGCCTCCTCCCTGTGCCTTGGGCATGCTGGGCACGCCAGGCACGCAGCACACTCCCACCTCAGGGCCTGTGCACCTCTGCCCTTTCTTGTTGTTGTTGTTGTTTACCTCTGCCCTTTCTGCCTGCACAGTTCTCCCTACGGACCTCCATGTGGCTTGTTCCCTTCCTGCCTTCACCCTTTACCCAAAGTTACCATCTCAGGGAGGCCTTCCCTGGCCACCTTACCTAGACTCCAGTTTCTCTCTACCCTCCATTCCTCCCTTCCTGACTTTACTCTGTCCCCGGCACTTTTTCCTAGAACATATTAGAACATCAGTACTTATTGTCTACCTTGCCCCATGAAACTGGGACTCTGGCCTGGCTGTCTGTGGAGACAGATCGCTCTGAGGCCGGTCTTGCAAGCAGAGCTTCTATTCGGCCTCTTGACTTCCCAGAGTCCTCCTCATGGGCCAGGAGAGGGACAGAGGACCTACCGCCCAGATACTTCCAGGCTGGCCCTCGGGGGCCTGTGCTGCCCACACATTCCTCTTTGCTGCCAAGTGCAAGTTCCCAGGACAGGGTGTGTGAGTGACCGCAGCTTTGATCAGGAGCCTGAAGGTGGCTGCATTCTCTGCTCCAACTTTACCAGGAACAAAGTCATGTTTGGAACCCCCTGAGCTCGGTGTCTACCTCTCAACAGTTTCTGAACTGGAAGATGAAGGGGTATGGCGGACATCGACACCTTCAGAAACCCCATTAGGCATGGAGGCTGTGAGGGAGGGAGGCCCAAGAGCCCAGCTTACCGCCGTGGGGGCCCAGTCCTGGCCGTACACAAAGCAGTACTTGCAGTAGAGATCATCATACTCAGGAAACTGTAGGAAGAAGCACACGCAGGTTCTGTTTACAGGGATTGGGGGGGGGGGGCAGGCACCGCGGTGGCTAGCTAAGGGCAGCCAATAGGGATGCTGGCACTGGGTGCCTGGGGTAGAGTCTAAGAGACAGCCGGGGATGGGGACACGGAGTTCAGTGGAAGGGTTGGGGCCTGAGATGTGGGAGTCCAAGGGACAGTCCCAGGCTGCGACCACCCTTGAGCCTTTGCCCAGGCTCCACCTTGTCTGACATGCCCTTCCCATTCCTTTTTTTTTTTTTAAAAGATTTTATTTATTTATTCATGACAGACAGAGAGAGAGAGAGAGAGAGAGAGAGAGAGGCAAAGACACAGGCAGAGGGAGAGGCAGGCTCCATGCAGGGAGCCCAACATGGGACTCAATCCCAGGTCTCTAGGATCACGCCCTGGGCCGAAGGCAGGCGCTAAACCGCTGAGCCACCGGGGCTGCCCTGCCCGTCCCATTCCTCCATCTGGCAAACTCCCTTTCATCCTTCAAAACGTTCTAAGGTCCACCCCACCCCCAGCTCTGTCAGCCCCTGGTCCTTCCCTCCACCAAAGCTTTGATGCCTGACAGAAATAACTGTCAACCCTGTTTGACTGTGAAGAGGGAACAAGTGCAATGAGCTTTCTGTGTCCCCCAGAGCCTGGCACAAGGGGGTATAGAAGAGATCTAGGGAACATTGCCAAAGTGAAAGGATGCTACCAGGACATGAAGTATACACAGGGCTGGAGCTCAAAGCCTGGAGAGAGGGAGGGACCCAGAACTGAGCAGGAGGCACAGTGGGAGTGGCATGGGTGCTGACAGAGCAGAGAGGCATGATCCAGCCCAGCCAAGGGCCCCTAATGGGACAGAACAGAAGAAGGGAAGGCAGTCTTGGACGCTAGGCCAGGGGCAGGGGCAGGTGGACAGGGTGGGAACACGGGAGCATTATCCCGATGAAACAGGGAGGCAAGAGAGACCTAGTAAGAGGTCCTGGCAGAGCTCTGCCCAACCATCTCACTTAATCCCCACAATACAATAAATACCATCTTCCAACAGCCTGGAAGGGTAACGAACCAATGTTTTGGTGTCAGGCAGACCTGGGTTCAAATTTCAGCTTTGCCACTCCCTGTGGGCAAGTGTTCCCATCTGTAGAATGGGGATGCTAGTAACACCCACTTCACAGGGTTGTGGTGAGGGCTGAATGCGCAGTGCTGGGCACCGAGTCCGGCACACGGCGAATTCGTGGTGCACTTATATACACATAAATACGACAAATGGGTCTCCCCAAGTGTAGGCGACGGAGAGCAGCGTCCGCGTGGGTCAGACCCGACAGACCCTCCCCGGACCTCTCCACCACCCCCGTCGTTGGCGCACATTCACCAGATCGCCTCCATTCTAACCCAAAAGCAAGGACCTCAGGGTTCAGAGTGCAGAGCGCTGGGGGGCCGAGGCCCAGCAACCCGGGCGAGTCTCCGCTCCTCCCCTTACACCCGCGTTAGGCTCCTGCCCGGGACTCAGCGGAGCGGACACAAGCAGAACCAGGGCTCACAGGCCTGGTCTCTCAAACGCTGGTTCCCCTCCCCCGCCTGACCGGACAGACGCGCCTCTCCCGGGCCACGCAGCAGCCCGGGAGGTGGCGGGACGGGCCCCCGCGGGTGACTGGGGGGAGGGCGGGCGGGGGTCCCCGGCCGCTCACCTGGGCGCTCTCCACCTGCCCGTTGACCATGAGTAGGAAGACGCTGGGGCCCGCGGCCGCCATGGCAGGGCTGGGGGCGCAGGAAACGACTCCCGCGGCGCGCGGGGCTGCTAAGAGGTGCCGGGTTGCCCTGGAAACCGACGGCGTGGCGCGTGGGACACATTTCGTGGGAAGGCACCTTCGCGAAAGAAAGCACGGGTGCGGCAGTGCGCAAGCGCAGCCGGCGGTCGGGGGCGGGGCTGGGGGCGGAGCTCCGCAGCCCCAGCCCTCTCCGGGGAAGCTGGAACGGTCCGCCGGCGGTGTAGAACCTAGCCGCGCCGCCCGATCGGGCCACACCCGCAGGGTCGTGTGTCCACTCTGCGCCGGCCGCGCCCGCCCCGAAGGGCGGAGGCGCGCCCTGACTCCGGCCGGCCGGAGGCCAAGTGGGGCCGGTGCCCTCCGCCGCGAGATGGCGCTGTGGCGCTACCGGGAGGACGGCGGCGGGGACGCGCGGAGGGGAGCCTGCGCGGTGCGGGTGGATCGCCGCCGCCGCCAGTGGAGGTGACGCGCGCGAAGGCCGCGAGTCAGGCCGGGGCTGGGCTGCCCGGTTGGGGACTGCGGCGGGTCAGGGGGATGCCCCCCTGGGGCTTTGAGGCCCCTGCCCCCCACCAAAAGTTTGTTAAACAAACTGGGGAGGGCCTCAAACAACCGAGTTACGGCTCCTCGGTGTGAAAGGGGGAAACGGAGGCCCACGGAGGAGCAGCACCTGGCATCCCAGTCTTCCAGCCGTCGGAGGAAGACTGAGCCAGAACCCACGGCACTACCAGGCTAACCCCCTGGCCGCCCCGAGTGGGTCATAGCTTCGGTTAACACATCGATCCGGTTCGCCTTAGCACACACTGTGGTTTGTATTTGCACATTGATCACTATCCTGACTCCCCTCTCTAGACAGCCCGCTGTTCCATGAGCCCAGCGGCCACGCGGATCTTGAGTTCTCGTTCCCTGGCACATAGAAGCCCTGGTAACAGTGCTGGATGAATGAATAATTGAATACATGGCCACTACTCAGAGAGGAAGCAGATTCCCAGGGGAGGTGGCTGGGCCACAGTCACAGCAGCAGGTAAGTCGCCGAATCAGCATTCACATCCAGGACTAAACAGGCTAAAGAGCCTCACTGCCTCCTCTGTCTGGTTCCAGGCCAGGTTGTCAAAAGTGGCATTAGAGACCTTATCCCTGATCCAGGAAGGGATGCACAGGTGTGTAGACTTCCAGGAGGCCATGCCCCCAGCAGGGACCCCAGGGGGTGGTCCCACAGTAGCCAGCTGCTAGCTTGGAAGCAGACCAGGGGGGCTCCCTTCAGACACCTGTGCAGGAGAGGGAGGGAAGAGTCAAGGCCAGCCTGGACCACTGACCTCTTCCGGAAAGCTGAGCAAGGATAACTGATTAGGGGAGGGGGCTGTGGGTAGTCTGATGAGAGATGCTGAGGCTGAGGAGGCCAGATGGGTGGGGGCCCCACCGCAACAACACACACAACTCAGAGTGTAGGTCTGCTCTCCAGGGACTTGGTCATACTCCCTTCCCCCACTCCTCACACCCTCTTTCCACTTAAAATGCTTTCTCCCACAAATTCTACCTGTCTTTACTCCTTGTCACTTTTGAAGTTCAGTTTTATACAAAAGTCACTTTTCAGCAGAATGCTTGTGATTATCTAGTAACCAGGGGCTTCTAGTGTTTTAAAACCCAGCTATGTCAGGGGCGCCTGGGTGGCTCAATCGGTTAAGCATCTGCCTTCAGCTCAGGTCATGGGGTCCTGGGACCGAGCCTGGTGTCGGTCTCCCTGCTCAGTGGGGTCTGCTTCTCCCCCCAACCCCCTTACCCACTCATGCTCTCTTTCTTTCTCTAATAAATAATTTTTAAGAAACCAGCTATGTCAAAGCCTACCCTACATTCAAGCAGGACCTAAAGGGGGAGTCTCCCCAAGGGGTGGGAAGCTCCTAATCAGGCATGCACATTAGCCATCCAGCCAGGCAATGTGGAATGGGAGACCCCGGGTAGGATGGGAGGATGGACAGGCCTAGCTCTACAGAGTCTGGTGGCCTCAGGAAGGACCGCAGGGGAGGGGGCGCCTCAGTGGGGCTTGGTCAGGACCCAGCTGGAATCCTTACCACCAGTTCAGGTGGGCCCGCTGGGGGGCTTGGTGCACTGGGAGCCCTCAGGCAGGCTGACCTTCAGGTCAGGACAGTCAGGGTGGAGGTGAAAGGTGTCTTTGCAGGTGTGGGTGTGCAGTGGCCTCAGCGGGAATGTAGAGATCTGCTCGGGGAGGGTGGGGAGGGGGGTCACAGATGGGCAGACCCTCAGCCAGGACCAACATCCAGCAGGTTGGCACCATTTCCTGCCCTGCCAGTTGTTGGCATGCTGCAGAATTTCCCTCTCTGGGGGCACCTGGGTGGCTCAGTGGTTAAGCGTCTGCCTTTGGCTCAGGTTGTGATCTTGAGGTCCTGGGATTGAGTCCTGTCAGGTTCCCTACAGGGAGCCTGCTTCTCCCTCTCCCTCCGTCTGCAGCTCTGCCCGCTTGTGCGTTCTCTCTCTCTCTCTCTCTCTCTCTCTCAAATAAATAAATAAAATCTTTAAAAAAAATCAGTTCTTGGAATACTTACGTGTTTTCATGCTTTTTCCTCTGTCCAGCATACCATCTCCTCCCTGCCCGCCTAGAGAACTCCTATTCAACCTTCAAAGCCCACCTGTGTGAAGTCTTCTCTGAACTCCTCTCCCCATCGCCTTACCATGTTCCCCCTCGGGGAGATATCCTCACCTTCCTGCCCAGAAGTCCATTGTAGTCAGGGTATCCAGCTTTGCTTCCTTTCTTTCAAGATAGGGAACTCACTCTTTACTAAGGCAGCTGGGTCTCTGTTAGGTGCCCCACCCTGTCAATCTGGCTCCACCTTCAGGATCTTTAGTGGTAAGGCTCCATCCACAGGGAGCTCCTCCCTGCAGGCCAGACACCCCAGTGCCCATCACCATCTGTATCCTGCACCCACATTCCTGTGACTCGAAGTCTGGGTTGCCAGTTTTAAGAACTTAGACTCTCAGCCTTCAAGGGATCGGTGGCCCCAGCTATTTCCCTCCCTTTCTGTTCCCAGCCCCTGCCCGGAGCCCCTTGCCAGCGGGCAGCAGCCCCAGCAGAGGCAGCGTTTGTCCAGGGGGCCCTGGATCTCATCCCCGCATCCCCACTCCTGGTCTGACCTCCTTCCTGTCACCCCAGGCCATTTAGCCTCTCCAGCGCCCCTACCTCACCACCCAAACAGGGCCCACGTCACCTGGCAAAGGGGAACTGGCCTGGGGAAGAGGGAGCTGCCATGGCAGGGCCGGCAGGGGGCAGATGTCCTCTTACAGACCTAGGCCCGGCCAGGTGACCTAGGGACTCAGACCCTACCCCACCTCCAGTCTCTGGTGACCCAGAGGGCAGCTGGCCAGAATTCACAGCAGCAGTGATGCTCTCTCCCTCTCCTGACACCCCATGGAGCTCTGAGGCACCCACACTGAGGGCCTCCACGGCTACTCCGCAGGAGCGGGGCACTGGAACCCCGTTTCCGACAGTTGAGGTTCAGAGGAGTGAAGTGACTTGATGAGAGGGGTGTATCGGAAGACAAGCTGAATTCAAACCATGGTCCCCGTGACTCCGAGCGCCACGTCCTTCCTCTCCTCGCCCTGACAGGTGCTCCTTCCTGGGCCCAGCTCTGGCTCCTCAGTGGGCAGCCACGCCGGAACGCTGTGGGCTCCCCGCCACGTGGGGCAGAGGCCAGACCGGCGCCATCCCCTGCCCCCCAGCCTCACGGGAACGCACCCCCGCACACACACCGCCTCTTTTTCTTCTTCTTCAGCTTTTTTTTTTTTTTAAGATTGTATTTATTTATTCATGAGAGACAGAGAGAGAGGCAGAGACACAGGCAGAGGGAGAAGCAGGCTCCCTGCAGGGAGCCCGATGTGGGACTTGATCCCTGGACCAGGATCACGCCCTGAGCCCAAGGCAGCCGCTGAACCACTGAGCCACCCAGGCATCCCCACACACCGCCTTCTTACAAATTGTATGTATTTATGTTTCATTGAGGTGAAATCCACATAAAGTAACCATTTTTAAAAATTTTTTATTTATTTGAGGGAGAGAGCGTGCACGCACATGCAAACGACAGGTGGGGAAAAGCAGCGGGAGAGACAAGCAGACTCCATGCTGAGCCCCATGCGGGGCTCAATGCCAAAACTCAGATCATGACTGGAGCCGAAATCAAGTTCAGACACATAACAGACTAAGCCCCCCAGGTGCCCCTAAAGTAACCAGTTTTAAGCTATAACTCAGTGCATCCCAGTTTTCTTTCCACATGCTCTTCTTTCATTGTTTTTTTAAGATTTTATTTATTTATTCATGAGAGACAGAGAGAGAGACACAGAGAGCGAGAGGCAGAGACACAGGCAGAGGGAGAAGCAGGCTCCATGCAGGGAGCCTGACGCGGGACTCGATCCCGGGTCCCCCAGATCACGCCCTGGGCTGAAGGTGGTGCTAAACCTCTGAGCCACCCGGGCTGCCACGCTATTCCTTCATGCCTGGAGTATCCCTCCCACCTTTGCTGCCTGAAAGCCTCTTACTGAATAACTTCAAGGTCCAGATAAAGGTCCCCTCCTTCAGCCTACCTTTATTCTGTGCTCTGCCCCATGCTGCTCCAGGGGCTTTCTCTGGAGCCCTCAGCCCCTCAGCCACAGCCCTGCCATGAAGAGGCTGTGGTCCAGCTGGGTCTGCTGGACCACACTGAGAACTGCATGAGCACCCATGGACAGAGGGCACATTGGAACACTCGCTGATTTTTGAATGACTGCATGAGCGAGTGAATGAGTGCAGGTCTTTGGGGGACCCTTTGGGGGGAGCTGGAGCCTTAAGGGCCAGAGCTGAACTTTCAGGTTCCAGCCAGAGAGAGGATGTAGGTTCAAGTCCAGGGGAGCGGGGGTGTAGGGAGAAGACTCACAACAGAATAATCTGGTCTGGGTCTGGGCCAGTGCCCACCATAGAGCCATAGGGCCTCAGTTTCCATCTCCAGCCTATCTCCAATTTTCAGTGTGACCCTAGGCAAGTTATTGCCCTACTCTGGACCTCAGTGTCTGCATTAGTAAGAGCAGGGCAATGCCTGGACTATCTCATTCTCCTG